CTGGAATGTTCGAGTTCACCGAGAAAATGCATCATGATGCCTCCCTAACGAATAGACCCAAAAATTGCATTCGAAATCACATCCGGTTGGGATTGGTATGCGTGGCGCATCTCAAACTGGAACTAGTCATTCATCGTTTTCTTTCTACTCTTTCCAGAAATTGTCAGAAGAACTTTCCACATAATGAAAAGAAAAAGTACAAACTGGCATTGGAGTCGTCCTACGACCTCGTGCCTGTGTTGCAGAGGAACTACCGCTGCGCTTTCTTGCATCATAACTCCTTTCATATAATCGTTCCCCAGACATCGAAAGTAGGTTGGAATTCGTTTTTTTTCGTTCGGCACATCTACTGGTATAGATCCCTCCTCAAATGACTGGACTGACAATTGACATTTTCAAGAAAAAAAAATTTAGAAAAATAGGATAAAGAACCATATCGATCCATCTGAAATTGAAAATGATTTGCTGCGAGAATTGAAATAGAATTCAAAGGAAAACAGTACTTCATGAAACCCTAATCGATCCGTTTCTAGGGACATAATATTGTAATCAGCACTGCTGTAGTGCCATATTATTCCAAAACTCTGAGCATTATTTTTAAGTGAATGCAAAGCCGATCTCAAGTAGACGCTCCAAATCTGTACCTTCTCCAGAAAATGACACAATCGTTGATCATCACTCTATGTGTTTTTGCCATGGACATTTGGTGACGCAGTACGGTGGTTATTGAGGTTATATCGACGTTCGCTTTCTAATTCACTGTACTATTGCTTAGCACGCTTAGTACTAGTATTGCTGCATTCTGTGTAGTAGAAGCAATCGAATCCTTATCTCTAGATCAAAGTGACGAACTGCGACGCCAAATGTGCATAGCTATGGGTTGGGTTTTGTGTGAATGACTGACGTTGATGTTGCCATGTGTTTTAGACGGAGCATCCGCAGCAGCAGCTTTCGCAGGCTTGGAAAAAAATGGTCTCCACGCAGCGAAAACGCGCCGTGGTCGCGTGCTTCCGCATGGTGCCGTTGTACGGAGTGCCAAGGTAGGCGATATCTCGATGTGCACCGTGTCAGCTTGTGAATGTCACGTGCACGTCTCGTTCTGCATGTCAAGGTTCCACTAAGAACTGAGCTTGAACACTGACAGTTCTAAAATGGAAGTATAAACATCTCTTGAAATAACCCGCTGGGTTACAAAACCCTGTGTCCAGATAACAGAACTTTCAAACAGGTCCCAGGAACGTAAGAACCCATCTATCGATGCTCCAGTAATACAACGAACCTCGGTGTTGACGATGATCGATTAGCTGAAAGCTCAGTTGACTAGCACGGCGCTCTTACGTAAAAAGCCCCTTACATGACCCCCTGAACATAACTAGATAAATTGAATATTTTGCCATTGGTAGATGACAAGTCGCTTGGAAAAAGAGGATAAATGGAAGAAAGTGCTGACACTACAGCGTAAGAGAATGGCCATTTCATTGATCACTGCTTCTCACCTTTACAAAGTCGAAAGGTAAGTGATAAAACAACTTAACAACTGCTAACAAGCGAATATACCCCTACGTTCATTCTACATTCTCAGAAAAGTCTCCACCACTACGCAGGTAAGGAAGTTGGA